TATAAATAATAATTTTTAAAAACTAACAGTATTCAAAGCAAACTAGGTGTTTCAAGGAAATTTTCTTAATAAATGTAAACTTTTTAGAAAATTAAATTAATAAATAATTTGATGAATTTTCCCTTTGCGATATCCTAACAGTATTCACTTCCAATTAGCATGACAACTTTTGAACTATCTATGACAGGCAATGCAAATCTCGTAATTCCATTGTAGTAAACTTTGCAATGGAAAATAACAGTTTAATAATTAATAGTCACATAATCCATAATCAACTGTATATTAGATTTGTTAGCTGCAATCTTTTAGCTTTAACTCGGTTAAAAATACAATACAAGAATTTTATAATAGCCCAACATGCCCAGAAAATAATTTCTATTTGAAGTTGAGGAGTAAGTGAACGTTGTGTGCATGTTGCGCGCACCAGATTTTTTTAATTTATAATTTTATAAAATAAAAACTAGCCTTAAGTGGTCAGTCCAAATGGTGTTTATATTTGATTTCGAATTAATTATTTTTAGTACACAATAAACGAAGTTAGTACAATGAACAATTATTTTTTAAGAAATCCTCAGATACGATATCGCTGATAATACAGTGCATAATCAAGGTGAGAAAATTTAAGACGGGTTGAGTTAAAAGTTGAATAAATAGAAGCCTTGAAACGATAAGATCCATGATGACAAAGTTGGAAAAAAATTACTAAAATGTTTTACCAAAGGAGTAAATACTTATTATATATATATATATATATATATATATATATATATATATATAGTTTCCTTTCCAAAAATTTAAAAGAAAGTAAATTCGAATTGGACGATTCTCCATAAATTTTACTTTGTTTGGTTTAAAATATTTCAGAATGAAGTAAGTAGTTACTATAATAAATTTGTTGTTCAAACCATGTTTGGACTCGATTTCAGTACAGGAAATAACAGAGTTAGTTTCCTATCAACGGCGCTAGATGGCATTCAGAGCTGAAAGTTAAACTAAAAACGCCTACTTTTAATTTATTTAACAAGAGGTGGTCATTTTTATTACTAATGATTCTTTTCGTATGATATTCGGATATACAGTTGTAGTAATATTGCAACAAGATTTTAAAGGTAAGGAAATTTTAAAGAAGAAAATACAATTCTCTAAGAAATTAAATAAATACATTCTGATTTGCAAATATGATATATATATATGTATGTATATATATATATATATATATATATATATATATATATATATATATATATATATATATATATATATATATAAGATAAGATAAAACCGACTGCCAATATCTAAAAGAAATGTTTAGAGAAAAAGGAACATAGATAATTGGAACAAAGATTAAAAATAAAAAATCCTGAGCATCAGAACTCTGTTACTGATTTCATATTTTCACATTACTTCTTAACTTTTCTTGAGAAAAATCAATACATTTTTAAAATCATTTAAATGTTTTAATTCATTTTTCATGTTTTTTACAGGTGATAATAGTGTCGAATGGTTAGTGTTATCGTTCCTTTACGAAGAAGCACAGCCAATACTAAAATATCCAATAATTAATTAATTATTTATTCTTTACAAATAATAACTAATAACAATTGGCCTGGTCATTAAATTATATTACCAGTTGTAATTATGAAATCATTGATTCCGGTTTTCTCATATCTGAGTACAGTACATCCCAAGCATGATCACTTTAAGTTTTCTATTCAACTAGAGGTGAATCTTAAAATATTTTAACACGAAAGTTATTCTAAAAGCAGGATATCTGTAGTCCAATTGGAGTTTGGTAATTTTTTTTTATCTCTCCTTTCTTGCCGTTTAGGCTATAGAGGGTTTTTCCACGGCTGGGGGAGAGGGCGGGAGAATTATGCCGAGTTAAAAGTCCCACCGGCCCAGGGAATTGAACTCGTAATTATTTTCCATATCAAAATTCAGTTATCATGGCAACCCATGGTGCTGTGCACATGTCAAGGAGGGCAAGACATAACCACTATTAACATGTCCGAAAACACGCTCAAAAAAAGTTGGATGAGGGATTTTATCACTTAAAAATATACTTTAATCAAGTCAAGAGAGTTTACCACTGGCCAATTCTTTCCCTAACACCAATCAAGCCTATATTAGTATTTTTCCCGACAGTAAACTTGCTAATTGTTAAATACTTCTGGCAGGTGTGGATAACGAAATAAAGTTTAAAAAAAAGTTTAGTTTCTTGTGCAAAGTTAAGTTACCTATATTAAGTATTCTTATAGTTATTGCTTCATATCTCACCAAAACCGTAACTTACTTGTGGGATACCTATTACCTATTTAAATATTTTCGTTTAATTATTTTTAATACAAATTTAGTTTTATTTTTTCCCGTATCACTTGATATTGGATTGAATATTTCTTTGGACCAAACGAAACTGAAATGAACTGAATCAAATGAAATTCATTGTGTATGCGGTTTCTAGGCAAAAAAATAAAATAATAGTTTATTATTATTATTATTATTTTTTTATTATTATTATCGCTACTATTATAAAATAATAGTAGCGATTTTTAGCGTTGACATTTTGTATCTAACTTAAGTTGGTATAAGAGAACTGCCTTTTGGGGGTCTCTTATGTTTTTTTTCCCTGATCCGCCATTTTTCATGAAGTTTTTAAGAGTTTCTGTGAACCTCTAGATCTCAGTCAAAATCAGGTTTAATGCTTCGTACTTTCTTTTGAATTGAATACTTGTTACAGAAACGGACTTTATTTTAAGCAAAAGTGGGACCTCAACTTTATTTCCTCTACCACCCTCACTACTGTTCCATGATTTTACAGCTTTGTTATTCATAACAGCTCCTCCAAATAGTATTGATGGAAAGTAGTATGTAATTGAATCGATTTGTTGGTTTAAAAAGTACTATTGGTGTGTCTCAACCTTCCTTCCATCATTTCATTTCCTAGAGGTTTATCGAAATTTTCCAAAGTTCAGGGCTGTACTGAAGTCCCTTAGAGTTACTGTTAGAAAAGTGCTTTTCGGGATCTTAAATTTTCTCCAACACTTCGATAAATTAAATTCAGAAACAAATTATAAAATATTAAAAAACAAAATATGAGAAAATAATATAGCTGTTCACTAATTTTAGCTCTATTAAATTATAAATTATATTTTCAATAATGAACCTTTGTGATCGAACAAAAAATTCAAAAAGGTACAACCCCTCAAAATTTGAGGTTTTACGTTTCAGAGTACGTAGAATTCGAGAAACGAATAACAGTTTTTTTGGCCATTCGCTGTCTGCCGTACACCGTACGCCCTATGCCGTCCACCGTACGCCGTATGCCTTCCACGCATTTTCTCCGGAACTACCGGACCGATTTTTTTCAAATTTGGATTTAAAATTAGAGGTCACCCGAGGATGATCCTCCTTCATCGACATTTCTATCCGCCTTTTCCTTTCAAGATGACATCTAAAAAAGTTGCGATGCTATAGACTTTGGTGCCTAAACGAGTGTACCGATTTCAATGAATCTTCGCTAAAGTCTTCTTCTTGATGCTCTTTAAATTTATCTATATAGCATACTTTAACGAAAAGAAGCTGTAATTTTTTTTTATGAGGGATGGTAAAATTAGATTATGAATAACTCAAAAAGTATACTTTTTTGTAAATATTGTATGGTTATTTACAATTTTAGGGAATTGCCTAAAAAAGAAAAAAAAAACCCGTTAAAATCGGACAATTAGGAGCATAGATGTACATCTCTGGATGTTTTTTTTTATATGTTCTACTGTGAAGGGTATATCCTTTATTTTGATTTTTGATTTCTGAATGTATTACTGAAGTAATGCTAATTTTTTTTGCATATTACTAATGTTAAAAAAAAATATTTAGTCCAATTACTGGGATCACCTTTTATTTATTTTTCTTTGTCACTAGAAAGGCAATGTTACTTTATATGTATAATTGTTTGGAAATAACAAACCATTCTGAAATAATTTTCAGCGTTTTTTATAATTCACGTTCATTTATTAGGGTTTCCTGAAATATTTTTGTGAGCGGGGTTGCCTAACGGGCCATGGAGTATGCACAGCACCGCCTGGTGGGGAAAGTAAGAGAACGCATGACATCGGTTAAATCTTTTTTATAAATTGAACTATTCATTAAAAACAGTAAAAATGTAGATTGTGCCAACTGCCAATATTCTCGAAAACTCGGCCAACAACACAAGGTATACAAGTCGCGAGTTTTCTCTTACTCGTTCCACTGTTGCCGTCGCCCGGCAACCTGATATATAAGACGATTGATAGAAAATAGTCAAGAGTTCTCCCGGTGCTGGAGGAGTCTTTTAAATCCACCCTCTCACCCCCCAGGCCCAGGAAAACTCAGCATGGCCTTAAAGGAGAGGAAGGAGGGAGCCCCTCTCCCTCCCCCAAAAAAAGAGACTGTCCTGAAATAAAAAATATTCTCCATGCTCTATTCCAAAAGCGAATTTTGTTCAATTGCATTATGTTAATTATGGGACGTCATCCTCTCCTACCGTGCACTTATATACTTGTCACTTCTCTTGTTTTATATATATCCTATAATATCTGATTGTGAAGTTAATTTAGATGATAAAATTTCAGGTGATTAAAGATCATATGAAGATTTATTAAAAAAAAGTTGCTTCTTAAAGTCAATTATGAAAATAAAAATAATTAATTACTTCTCTTGTATCAGATAATAGAATGGTGTGCATACAGAGCGCACCAGCAGGAGATTGGGAATTTCGTAGCCATCGTTACTTTTTCCTTCTGTATCTAAACCTTATGGTATAATTTATATATAATTTTAAAAAATTCAATTTTCTATGATTATCATGATATTTTTAGCGATATATTTTGGAAATATATATCAACGCCATTTGTTCTATACGTGTTCTATATATGTCTATACCTAAATGATTAAGAAAACCTATTGGTGAAAAGGATATAAGGTGAAAGGGTAAATAGACACTAATTTGAAAAAAATACACTAAGTGAAAAACTATTTGCAATTTTATTACAAGAATTAAATGAGCTCAGAAAAGCTTGGAATCGAGGGTAATAAATTGTTTGTGGAGAATTCATGTACAGCGACATGCGCAAGAGTCTCTATTCAGAAGATCAATTTCAAATTAACTGATCTTCTCCTAGTAAGCGAATAGTTGGCGCACTCATGGTAAACATTGGACAATGAAGCCCAAGAGTTTTTCTTTTTCCCTTTTCCAAGACATTTCAAAGACTCATATAAATCACAAAAGAACAACCGTAATTACAACCGAAAATCCGTATCTATATCATTGGGTCAGTTTATGCTCTCCTCTTGACAACTGGTCGTGAAGACTTGCGTTGTTGTGGGACCTCTTCCTGTTCTTGTGGCAGCTGGGGCAAGATTTCCAGAGATCTAGCGATGGCTTCTGGGATGGGGTGTGGTGTTGGGATGTGGTCTCCGATGATGTGGAATCCAGTCTCGTCGGCATAGTAGGATGCGGAGATGGGAGTACCATCAGGTGCGGTGTAAGCGTACGCTCCTTGGATCGTCTGAGCGGAGACTTCTGGGCTGAGGGGTTTCATTGATCCTGTTGCATATGAAGAGATGCCATTTTCGGCTTCGAAGCTGGAAAGAATTTAACAATTTATAAATAATCAGATATTTTTAATTATAAACTAAAATAAGTATACCCTTTCAATAAACATTAGTAATAAATTGGACAATTTCTCTTTACGAATGATTTTCCTCGCTTACTCATAATTAAAGGTTCCATCGAAGTTAACGTCAGCTGATTGCCTGACAATGGCTACTGGCCTCGGTACCTCAGCGACAGGAGCTGGAGCGGGCTGGAACTGGGGCTGGTTGTTGTAGTACCTCGCCTCTGGAGCCTGCTTACCTCTGCGGATCTCTGCAGCCAGGCAGGCCGCCACTAAACCTAACAGTACGATCTGGAATCATAATTTATTATTATTAACCTATAGTTAACTTCACAGATGCGACAATATTAATAAGTGATGGAAGTATTTAAAATATACCAAATAAACAAAATAAGAAGTATAATTAATAAACATGAGCTATTACATGACGCGATCAACTTTATGGATTTTTCAATTGCATGGATTTGGGATAGAGAAGGTATGGAAAAAAAAAATGAAGGAAGGTTGGTCCTAAAAATAATATGAAAGAACCCTTATTGGACTATTTTTAATTTTACCACAATCATAAACCATATTACAAGGTTCCAACTATAAGAAGTTTAAACGAAAGAAAATGCTTTAAAAATATCTTATAAATTCAATAGTTGCCAACAAAAAAATAAATAAAAAATTGTTTCTGATGGATCAAGTAATTAAAAAATAAAATTTGTTTAATAAATTTTAAAAAGTTGAAAACATAATGATATTGAGTTCTGCATTGCATGCGTTTGACCGTTCTGTTAAAAATATCTATTGAATTATTATTCTTTTAATAAAATCATAGTTATTGTTAATGGTTTTAAATTATATTTTTTATTTCAGAACTTTCTGCATTGACAGATATTACAATTCCCAGAATCGAAGTTAGTAGGGATAAATACATAAATTCATAAAAAAAGAAGTAAAATAAATTTTTAAATATAAATAATATGCCGATTTTGTTATAGGTAACTAGCACAATTTTTTATTTAAATTAATATACTTAATTTTATATATATATATATATATATATATATATATTTATTCATTGATATTTACAACTGTATTATAAAAAAAAAAATACAACTAGTAAATGTGCACACAGTAATAATACAATCACATGAAAACGCTTGTTGAGAAACTACCCATTGGTAGCACTCTAATAATATATTTACATAAGCAGATCACGAGACCATCTTCTTTTCAGACGCCTCGGAGGAAAAACTATATTTAACTGTAAAATAATCAATTATGCTGTTGCATTAATTTACTACGATATAGGCTTGTAAAGAAGCGGCTTGAATGTACGACTTCAATCATTTTACTTTCCTACCGCTACTGGGTAAGGAAAGTGTTTTGATCGGATTAGTTTCATTACGCGCTATTTAATAGATAGATTTAATATATACTTATATATATCTTATATATATATATATATATATATATATATATATATATATATATATATATATATATATATACACATATTTGTGTGTGTATATAAAGTGGTTTAATTTTTTCTGAAATTAGTAGGAGAGTCGTTTGACTTCCCAACCAAGTATTTTAGAAGGTACGAATTATACCTCTTTTCATTCACCTCAGATAATTAATTATATGAGATATGTTGGAAAGCAACTTAAGAATATGCTTGATTTTAAGGTTCAATCTTAATATAGAAAGATTGTATCTATTTTTGATATAATCTTCAATGCCTGGGATTTATCCTATACATGCATAATTATATTAATAAATTAAAGAAGGGCTGATAAAGCTCACATAGATGTATAGCTTTTCGAAAACAAAAAATAGAATTCAGAGAGTTTGCCTTATAGCGTTTGATGTAATGATAAATAATGTTTCCAATGGGTGGAACTTAAATTAAAGTTCCTGATTATTTTTATTCATTGTATTGAAAAACAACAACTTTTTTCAAAATGTTTCACAGTTGTCACTAATTAAATTAACTGTCGCTAAATTACCAAACTGAAATTTCAAATATTTTTTCTCATAATTATGCATTGGTTAAAAGCGAGAATGTATTTTACAATCAGTATGACAAAAGGAAGGATGTTGTGTTGGCCTCTCTAATTATATTAATTCTGATGAATGCAAATTATAATCTTTGTAATCTGTGGACCAGTTTGCAATCCGAGCTGTTTTACAATGGCTCTACATTAAAGCTCATTCACTTTATAAGATTATGCAAATTCACTAATGTCCATTCTTGGAAACCAGTTCGATTATAATAAATGACTAGGTTTAAAACTTGGCGCAAAATCGACATGTCCGCACTTTCTCTAATTGGTACTATCAATAAACATTAATATTAATTACCATTTGCGCTAAAGGTATGATCTATTAAATGTATACGCAATTTATGTATATGATTTTTTATCACAATTTAAGTATTGATTATATACTAGTTTTGTCTTTCGATTGGCTGTTTAACACTGTTGTGGTTTTACAATATTTTTGATGAGAAAACAACTAATATTGGAATACAATTATTTTAGGAATATTAATTTCAAGAAATAAAGTTGACTGGAATTTCAATTTTTTTTTTTTACTTATTATATTTGTATCGTTTAATGATAATTATGCTATTTAATAGTAATATTGAGTTGAAACTGAATAATTTAAATATAAGAATTTTTAATTAAAACGTATATTTTGGTCTTGAAAGAGCTGATTCTTAAAGTTAATGTTTTACCTGTTGTTCTTCTGTTAGTAATAAATACATCAAAATTGGAGAAGTGATTCCTATTCTCCAGTTCTACTGCGGATGTTTCAACTATGGATAGGAATTAATAATCATGTATTATGCACTACCACCAACCCCTTTAACGAATTTTTGGTCTTGGTTTCTTTTCAGGGATGCCAAACAATGCAATGGCTTTGTAAACAAGAAAACAAAATGTTGAATAACATTAAAACTCCCGCCAACAGCAATAACTTTGAATCACAAAGGCCGGTTTTCTTTTTTCAAATACTGAAGAGCTCGGAGTAAAGAGACCATGCTCATGTACAATTTTATAGTAGTATAACTTTTTACTACCTTCTTTCTATGGAGCGGAGAATGATAGTTGTTTTTTTCTTTCTAATGAATAATTCTGTTCCTACGTCAAGCTAATGTGAATTTCAAAACTATGGAATTTCAGAGAATTGGAAGAGCTGGACATTAATAATTAAAAAGGCTAATTTACTTTCACCGAAAGCTTATAAATTGGAGGACATTGTTCCTTTTAGCTATTAGTGTATTGGGACTTTTATGGTTTAGTCTGCAATATTTACTTAGGTGTCAAAGTTTGGAGATTTTTTCACTTTCAGTGAGAAGAAAAACAATCGTTGTGATATTCATCTCGTAAAAGCGACCAGATGGATTGATCAACCCCCTCCGCCTCACAAAATACGTTTATATCACGTGCTAACCAAAGTGTGAGGCAAGATTTTTTTTTGCGGGGCCGCCGAGGAATTAATATTAACCATCCATGATAGGAATCAATGTGATGGGAGTCAAACCCATAACATTCATTTGAACCGGGCCCTCTCAAAATCTTGCCCCAATGTGTTCTACCATCACGTCCTCACTGGTAGAGGAGATTCAGAACTTGAAAGAAGTTCAATGAGTGGAAAGGATGATAGGCATAGCCATAAATTAAAATATATCAGTAAATAGTTTTTATTCAACTATATTACTTGAAGAGAATAAACAAAAAAAATACTTGCTGTTGGTGGCTAGGTGCCCGAGCGGGATAACGCGTGTGCGCAGTCCGGCAATCTGATAACCGAATTTTGAGATAGAAAATTAATTAAGAGTTCAAATCTCGGTGCCAGGTGGGGCTTTTAACTCGGCATAAGGAAGGGGAGGAAGGGGAGAACAAAGAAAAAAAAATGACTTGCTAGGTGCACATGTAAAGCCTAGTTCATTGATTAAGATTGATACCAGTTTTACTTTTTTCTTAAGATAGATTAGAGTGAGAGTTTTAAGAATAAAATAGAGAGACAACTTTCTTCTGAGGTAAAAAAGTTTCTTTAGAATGAAAAAAATAATTATAATCAAAATTATACTCATCTCGTTATATTGGCTTTTCAAACCACACCTTTTGCGTGGCTTAATTTTATTTCAACTTAAGTTAGATCTTTTACGTAATTTGGAATATTTAAAAAAGAGCTTAATGAGGTTTTGAAATTAATAATATATTTTTTTATTTTTTAAATATTTTTATTCTGATGTGTTTTAGGGATGGTTATAGAGAAGACACTTAAAAATATATTTTTTCTTTATGTCAAATATAAATAATAGACCAATGTAATTCTATTAATATTTGTTTATTTTCTAATAAGGGAGACATGGATTCGAGATTAAATCTTATACTTTAATTTTTCTTAAGAATTGTAAATTTATGGAATGAATAAAAAAGTAATTCTAATGCGATATATTAAAGTATTTTACATTCATCTATATACTATATCTATATGCAGTAATATTTCAGATCACCAACTATGAGGACAACCTTAGGGGATAATTGATGGATCATACGTTGTAAGTTGATATTTTGCCCATTCAATTATTTTATGTGCAAACTTAAAGGTATAAAATTTATTCAACAGAACCAATTTAGTTATGTTCCCTAAATAATTAGATAATAGTATGGTTGAAGTATGATGATAAAAAATGTTCAAATAAAAAGTATTGAACTTACAGATACATTAACCTCTACAATTTAAATATTGATTAATAAAAACAAAAATATTTATAACATAAAAATCAATTTTTATAAAAAAAATGTCCCTGTAGTCTGTTGTCTTAAAGAAAAAATTAATTTTTAGTAAGTTTGGGCAAAACCGTGTATTGAAAACTACTCAACCAAGTATATAAAATATGAAAATGATGAAGGTCTACTTACAGCAGTCTTCATGTTGAGGATGGTGTGTGTTTTGCCGGTAAGATTAAGCCCGCTGGGTTATATAGGGCTCCGGATGAGGCTCGTGGGGTGGGGGATTTGGCCTGGACGACACCGGCAAAAAGAGGAGCACACGATGTCATCTCTCGCTACGGGTATTATAATCAGCAACTGACATGTTAATTTACAAAGGGATTAATGATCTCTTGAGTTCCGCTCAAGAGAGAAAACAAAAATGTTTTGTTACTATGGACAGGTCCAATGAACCGTAAGTTAAAACCAAAAATATAGAAAATGATTGAGAGAGATACCCTGACTATGAACTAAGTTTATCAACAATACTTTGTTGTATTAAGTTTTGGTAACTGCAATGAAAACTAACTGTAATGTATAAATATATCATAATGAGCAAAAGTAATATATCTAGAAAATCTTAAATATTTAATTATGCAAAAAATTTACATGAAACTAAACAAGGAATTATTAATTGTTTGTAACTTTTTTTTTTTAATTTCTTGATATTCTCCTTGGTATAAGGAAAATTTATTTCTAACAATATTGGATGAAATACTTAAGATTTATTTTCATGACTAAAATAAAAAATAATTGTAAATTACTTTTCGTAAGTCATATTTAAATTTTGTAAAAATAAGAAACAAAATTTGATCAAAATATATTTTAATATCCTATAATTTTTTTTTTCTTTTTTATGTACACCTTGTAGATCTTTGACCGTCTTAAGAAGCCATATCCACCTTAGCCTATCTTGTGCTATTGTTTTTCAGTTTTCTGCATGCAGATCTGCAGTATCATTAATGATTCGATCTGTACCATATGGATATACGTATAACATAACATAACCATATGTTATTATTCTCCCATGTAGTCTCTCGCCAACAATTGAGGCATTTATTGTTGTGTAGAGTCTTCAGTTTGTGTGATGGATTGCTCGAAACTACATGTCTTGATCATCTTCGATTTCTTGTCTTCTTATCAAGGGATTCGATTAGCAGATTGTCAGATTGGCAGCAGTAACAAACTATTTATTGATCATTTTACCCACACGTTTGTACTCTGAAGCAAGATTGCTCCTGAAGATGGCTATGATTTTTCTCTCAAATCTATCAATACTGCCTTCTAGGTTGTTGGTCCGTGTCCAGCCTTATATATTTCTGTATATAAAGTTCTGTATATATCAGAACTTTTATATATATACAGAGCTGCACAGAGGGGTCATGGCGCAAATTGCGCCAACAAAATTTTTGAGAGGGGCATATTTTGATGAGTTTTTGAATTTTTTTAGGGGGGCAAATTTCGACTGCGTTATGAATTTTGGATTAAGCTGCAAGGGTGAAAACATGAGACATATGGAGCGGGGTGGCCGAATGGGCTAAAGCGCGTGCACAGCACCGCTAGTTGCCTGGCAACCGGATAACAGAGAAGTGAGATGATTTAAAAAGTACGAGTTCGCGTCCCGGTGCCGGAGGGGATTTTAAATTCCCTGCCCTCACCCCCCGACCCGGGAAAATCCCGTAGCCTAAAAGGCGAGGTAGGGAAGAACATAAAAAAAAAACACGAGACATACGGCAGCAAGTGTGATTATTAATGATCTACGATTTTTCTAACTCTACCTTAGCTTGCTCTATTTTTAAGAAAAGATGAGCACTAAAATATCTTGGGAGAAGGCGGAGAGACTAGGTGCTTGCGCCATCGATCTTAGTGGAGGAGGGATGGGCACCCCTGTATATATATATATATATATATATATATATATATATATATATATATATATATATATATATATATATATATATATATATATATATACTTTATCCTAGTGTTTTAGGACTTCAATTTGTGTTTTTTTAGGTGGTTTTTGTGGTTTTAGATTTCTTTTTGGTTTTTCAACACCTTTGAAAGGCAGAAGAAGATTTGTTTGAGCTACTTATAACCTAGTCTATTTCTTTCCGTTAGTCATTCATTATTGAGCCGAAGTAGTAAATCTTTATATTATTTTTTAAAATATATAGTATATTCGGATTGAGTACAAATTTTTTACTTAATTAATTAGTAAAAATTTACTGATTCAAAAACACTGAATTCCCATTATTCTAAAATCGAGATATCAATCATTACTCAAACTTGTGGATGAAGAGATCGTTGCCGTAATTTGTAATAGCTGGAAAACTTCAAGCAAATAAAATTAATTATTGATAATTATACTTTAATACTCCATCACTAGAATTAGTATTGAGTTTTGTAACTTGTTCAACAGTCTACATTTATTCAATCTGACCCCCCCTTTTTTTTATATTATGTTAAAAAATCTAAAGTTTCGGCAAACCTCTATAACTTTGTATAAGTTTTTGCTCTTTTCTAAACAATTTTACATTATGGGTGTAGATATTTTTTGCAGTTTCTGCTCTGATATGTAGTAGCTGGAAAACTTCCACACTCATTGGCAACGCTTGGTGCTGTCTTCTCTGAAATATGTAGAAGAATAAAACCATTTTTCTTCTTTTTCATGGCACGAATATTTTGCTATTGTATGTTATAGATATACCACATATCCCGAAGAAAAGAGTTATAATTCAACAAGGGTCAACTTTTCAACTGAGCGTTTTTAAAAAATGAAGCTCACATATTGTTTTTTATAAAACTAGTTTCACAATTAAAGAACTAACCTATATTTCGCGGTACAATACTGTTCACTTAAAAAGTTCTAACAAACGGATAGAGTTCTAAAAGTTATTTCGGAATGCTGAAATATGCAAAATGACACTTTAATTCAATATAAATTGTGTAATGGATTTTTGTAAAATTATGATAGAAATGATGACAAAATTTGCTTGTGTTTTGCATTATTAATTGTAAATAAAAAACAAATAATCATTACCTACTGTAATGATCCTAAGTAAATGTAATTTATTAATTATAATAAAATTGATCGGAATTGATGACAGCGTTTCAAAATTTGGAAAATTACTATATCTTTTTACTTTTATTTCTATTTTTATTTACTTATGTGTATATATATATATTTTTTTTTTCTTTACTCTTTTGTTCTTTCTTCTTATTCTTTTGTTATTACTTTATTTATTTATATTTTTGTATATACGGTATGAATGCAATCTCTGAACTCTATTATAAGTGTCCTTAACTGTGACAAATTGTAATATTTCTGAATAAAGTGTTTTTTAATAATAAACTATATCTTAATTGAACAGTGAAATTTTTTTTGTTTTTTTAATTTTTCTCTAAACTTTTATGACCCACCATTCATATTCCCATAATCACTCGATGCTCTTCATTCTTGTCTGAATAAGAGAAAACCAGCTAAATATTTAAAATTTGCTATTTTTCTTATCTTCTTAAATTAGTTATCAAGTGTTACCTACATATTAGTTTTGGATTAAGACTGATTAGAAATGATACTAGTATAATTAAAAAAAAAACAACAAATATAATTAACAATTTATTTATTTATTCAAGAAATAATAACGGGAGTAGTACAAATAGCAGTAAATTAAGTTTGAATATTTGTTGTCCCAAATGTTGAAAGGAGATGAAGAATAAAATGAAATACTTATTTGTAATAACAGAGACCTACACTACTTAGAAAGTTACAAAAAATTTTCATTCATGAAGCTAATAGAAACATCTAATCTAAGAATAGAGATATAATATAACAATTTTAAAAGTTAGTGAATCTTAAAATTAGTTACTTCTTATTTTAAACTATGTTTAATACCAGGAACACACCGAGAATGACTAGCAAATTACTAGGAAAAGTTAAGAAATTGATGACTCACCAAATGATTCGTCTTGTTACCAGTCTCACAGTCAATCCCGGTGTATCTCAATGTGCCCGGTTGTTCTGACCTAAGGGACTCCCAAGATTTGTGGTAACTTTAATGTTCGGTCAAGATAGAGTCTTCTGTTACATTCAGATTAATTCATATCTCCATAGATTTTTTTTTGTAACACCACTCAAAGATTCTTTTTTATACCAGTTTATAAATTTATACAGGTTTCAATAAACTTTCATAGGACAAAAGTAATAAGACCTACTTGTCTACCATGATTAGGTAAAAAACAATCGATAATTCTGATTGCTCGATTTTACATTTTCAGAAAAAAAAAACAATGTTAATGAGTTTTGTTACAGTAATGATGCTTAGAGTCTAACAGCGTTTTTCTAATTGTTTAATAGGTAGATTTTGGAATTGTAATGAAGCTGATAAAGTGTTTTGAATATTGGTTTTCAAAACCAGCCACATTGAGTTATGACAGAAATCTAGATCTTATTACTTGTTCCAGTGATTTTTTATAGAAATATTTTTAAATTTTATAAACAAGTATAATAATATTCTTTGATTGATTTCGGAAAAAAACCTGCGGGGAAAGTGTATGAATGGGAGTTTAATTGAAGAGTCTATCTTGACCGCCCATTGAAGTTACCTTACATTGTCTGTTTTTTACCAGTGCACGCCAGTTCTGTTACAGCATTACTAATTATATGTGATTGTTTTTATCTTGGAATGGGTTCATAGACCAAATGAGAATTTTTTTCACTCTTTTATTTATAATTTATTTAAAAGCTCCATTTCCATTCCTTCCATTTTATTCCAACCATTCCAACATTCCCTTTCAGCCCACTTTATTCCTTCTATTTGATTTTTTAATCGGTTTTCTTAGTATGAAGATGATTTCCAACAGCATTTAGTTTATAATAATTAAATTATTAATTAATATTTGAGTGAATGTATGAATGTCCATCCAATTATTTAATCCGACTAAAGTTTTTAACTATCTGTTTATATTTTTATGTAATTCGCAAATGTTTTAATGTAATTTAGATTATATTAAAAAAAAAATGAATTTCGATCCAATATGAAACAACTAATATACATAAAAACCGATAGCTCATCGCTTGAAATTAAACAGCATTCCTTCCTATTCGACTGTAGCGTTCCTTGTTGAACAACTTTTAAATCATAGTATTTTGATATAAATACAACCTGTTAGATCTATAA